CACTACACCATCAATTTAATCTAATTAATCTGATCCGAATCAATTTTCAATTAAATTTCACAATAGGCTCTAAAAATTACGCCAATCACAATGGTGTAGTTAATTTTAGTTTCTATGGCCGATAAGGCCTTCAATTTTCAGTTCATAACAGTAAGTTGAATAGATATTCCTACGGTGAACAGATAGAAATTCAAAACCACATATAAATGGCACTCAAAATCATATCAAACACATAATCACATACGCAATTAAGATTAATTAGCATAATACGGAGCAGGGTTATCACAAAACACCTCCATCTCGTTCTCAGGCACACCTATACCACATATAGAGCTTTTATGAAAATTAATTTTCAAGCCAGAGACCAGTTTGAAGCACCTCAAAATCCTTTTAACTACCATTACCACTTCCAACTCAACCTCATAGAAAATAATCATATCGTCCACGAAGTGAAGATGTGATATCGTAACATCATGACCCACCGTAGCCCCTGAAAGTAGACCCAAAGACCTGGCCTTAAGCATCAACGTATTAAGCCATTCCCCCACTATGTTAAACAGGAAGGGAGATAAAGGGTCACCTTGTCGAAGACCTTTACTAGGCTTAAATTCATCTGTTGGAGATCCATTGACAAGAACAGAACATCTGGAAGATTGGAGGCACTCCCGAATCCAACCCCTCCACCTAACCCCAAAGCCAAACTCATTCATCATAGATAAGAGACAACCCCAATTAACTGAATCGTATGCCTTTTGGAAATCAAGCTTGAGAATCACTCCCTTCTTTCTATTAGCCTCCCACCAATCAACAATCTCATTAGCTATTAAAACCCCGTCAAGTATATTCCTGCCGCCCAAAAATGCTAATTGTGCCTCGCCAATAACCCTTGGCACCACCTTCTTCAACCTATTAGCTAACACTTTGGCTAGAATCTTATATATAGACCCAATTAGACTTATTTGCCTGCAATCAAAAATACTAATTGGACAATCAACCTTGGGTATAAGAGTAATAAAAGAGTTGTTTAACCTCGAAGCCAACTTCCCATTGTCATAAAACTCCTTGAAAATTTGCATAACCTCTGGCTTAAACACCCTCCAACATTTTTGGAAGCACGCCAAGTTAAATCCATCCGGTCTCGGAGCTCTATTCCCATCACTACCTTTAATAGTAGCCCAAACTTCATCTTCCGAAAAAATAGCATCCAAGCCATCCACAAGTTGATCTTGACCAATAGATCTAAATTGCCCTCTCAGCTGTGGACTACTCCCCCAATCTTCAGTAAACACTTGTTTAAAGTGCCTTAACACCTCTCCTTTCACCAGGTTTGGCTCCTCAAGACACTCACCATAAGGAAATTCCTGCACTGCCTACTCGAAGCTATAGTATGAAAAAACCTTGCATTTTTGTCACCTTTCAAGGTCCAATCTAATCTGGATTTCTAAAGCCACATCCATTCCTCCCTTTTAGACAAAGACCATACTAGCTTCCTAACCTCTTTTTGCCTAGCTACTTCATCATCCCCCAATTCTCTGGATTCAGCCACCAAATCCAATTCGTGCAACTCCTCTTGTGCATTTTTTAATGAACAAGATACATTCCCAAACATCTCTCTATTCCACTTCTTCAGAACCAATCTCAGATGTCTAAGCTTCATGACAATCACAAACCCCGCCCACCCACAAACTGTTGATTCCCCCCAAGACTTCTTAATAAATGACATAAAATCTGGATATAAGAGCCAGGCATTGATAAACCTGAACGGTTTTGGTCCCCAGTCCCTCTCATCCTCCATCAAAAGCAAAGGGCAGTGATCCGACACACCCCTAGGCAAGCCCACAATTTCAGCTTGAACTTCTCTATCCATTCAGAGAACAGCAATACTCTGTCAATCCGACTCCACCTGCCCCCATCTTCTGAATTACTCCAAGTAAATTGTCTTCCATGCATTGGCACATCAAACAGTTCTAATTCTTCAATAAGGTTGTTAAACTCTAACATGCCTCTATCCCTTCTTATACAACATTTCCTTTCCCCTAAACTCCTAATCTCATTAAAGTCACCCCCCAAACACCATGGGCCAGGAAATTATGACCTTAAATTCTTAATAACATTCCATAAAAGGCCCCTCCGTGAAGCATCATTTGGTGCATAAATATTTATAAAGACACAATGAAAATCAGGGAAGACAGTACCTGACAACAAAACGAAACACCTAGAGCTGTAGTAATGGGACATTACAAAAGCCTTCGGTCTCCATACACACAATAGCCCACCAGCCGAACCATCAGCATCCACACTCAAAAATTCAAAATTATCATCAGGCCAAACCAAGTGTACCAACTCTCTAGACAAGCCACCCTTCTTAGTTTCTTGAAAAAACGCTAGATCAACTCTGCGCTCCTTAAGTAACTCCCTAATTTTCCTTCTTGTCCCTGATTTCCCAAAACCCCTGATATTCCAAAACAGTAGCTTCATCTGAACACAAATCAAGACACAAAGGCCACCTGATAATGTTATTCAGTGGTGAATAACACCATCCTTCTACGCCACCCTCCTCGCATCATCCTCCTCTAACTCCATGATTCTCTGCAATACCTCATGTTCATTGCTGCCGAAGTCAATCCCTAAGGATTTACCCACCTTCAAAGTCTCCTTTGCTTCCTTCGTAACCCAAGCCCTTCCCCGATTAGACTGACCACCCGAACTTGATCTTGACAGCACAGCCGCTGCCACTTGAAAAACAGGTCCTTTGTGCCAACTTCCCCTTGAAGATGAACCACAACAACGAACAGCTCCCTTTCCCCCTTTCAGATCTTTTCTTCCCCAACTTGATACCTTTTCATAAGCTAAATCTTTTTTTTTCCCAATTAATTTGCAAATCTGTTTGTGCGGCACCCCAAATCCTCCCGCAGCCCTACCCAAAATAGATATGGGCTGTGAAGAAGGTAAATGAGAACTTTCACTAGCATAGGCCTGAATCACATCCTTGCCATTAGAGCATAGGCCCACACCCGTATTAACTTCACTGGGCTTAACCACACCCTTTGCTCTAATAGCCTCATCCAATACAATTTGAATCTTAATCCCTTGCCTATCAGGCCCATTACCACTAAGGCTTCTTAGATAACCAGCTGTAACCAACCATTCCTCCTTACCACTCCTCTCAATAATATTCCTTTGACAAACAGTTATACTATCATTGGAAATACCTCTATTACATACTACTAATTCCTTCTGACTCCCCATGCATGTATTAAATGAGTCTCCCACTACAGAAGGAGAAAAAATGTCCAGCTTCTCCACACCTCAACTACCATCCCTAATTGCCCCTCCCTTCCTACAAAGAGAGGCCACCTCATCATGAATGGCCACCTCAGTCTGCATTGTGGCTTCCACTTCAGCCACTACTTCCAGTTCTAGTCTCCCATGGCTGCCTTGCTTAACCTCTGAATTGTTGGAACTACAGAAATCCATAGCAGAGCATTTACGAACACCATTCCTTGGCACCAGGACATGTTCCTCACAAACTCTTACTATATAGCTTTTACCTTTACATCTTACCTGCACCATTGTATTAATAACACCCATAAAAAACGTGGTTACTTTCACTCTTCCACATCTGAATGATACTTGCTTGGATGTAGCTTCATCCACTCTAATTACCTCTCTCCAGAAATGCCCAATCTTACTAAATGTATCAACACTCCACAAATTGAAAGGAATTCCATAACAGCACAACCATACTCCTCTCTCTTACTGGATATGCCCTCTCCTCGACCACTCGTCCATGGAAACACACCAATCCTTCCAGCAACTTTCAAGTAATGACTTATTAGCCTTCAACTCAATCGCTGACCTGAAGGATACCACAACAGTCCTTCCACCTCCTTTTCTAACTGCAACTCCTTCTGGTCCTAGATCACAGACAGCTTTTTTGAAGTCTGAAAACACATAGAAACTTTTCAGCTTAACAATAAGACTATCATACAACCAACCATTCCCCACTTCAACCACATCTACAGTAGGGCCCATAGTCTCATAAACATTTCCCACCTGAACCACTTCTGCATATGACTTCTTGCTCCTAAACGAGGACTCTGCTTTCGCCAGATAACTCCTCCCAACCTGTTCTGCTCTCCTATTGCCCTTCCTTCCTTTAGTAGACTGACCCATACCCCTAGCACCAGAAGTATCTTTTGCAAACTCTGCGAACTTGCCCCATAAAGCTTTGTCGTCACACCACACTCCATTAGCCTTTTGGACTGCCATCTCCGCCGCAACAGAGCAATCATATCTGACAAAACCAAACCTTAACCTTGTTGTTTTCCTAGTCTTATTAGGGATAAACACATCTCTGACCATTCTGAACTTCTTAAACAACTCATACAGCCCCTTTGGATTCATTGACAAGGGAATGTTGTCCACAAAAATTGTGTAAAGACCTGGTTTTCCAGGTACAGACCCTTGTTCTCGTCTCCTCCATCCATACAGCACCGAACGCCATCCCCCTCACCTCCCTAGCCATCAACTTTTAATGAGAGATATTGCATAAATATAATTGTTATACAATTGTGGGGCTCATTAACTTGGTGAGTGCTAAGCTCAATTTGAGCAAGAGATCAAAACCAAACAATTAGCATCCCCATTGTTGAAAACTAATAAAAAATAACATAAAATGAAGGGAAACAACACTATAAATTATGTGGTTTTGGCTACACCCTATATCAAGTAGGGTGCTCATGGATTGGTTTGATACTACATTTAGAATCAATCTAATTACGACCAGTTCCAAGGTTTTGGGCTCAGAATCAAACCAATAATGCACTAGAACTAACCCAACCCAATGTTTCTCCGATTGGTTTGGGTTAGAACCAAGATTTCATACTATATTAAAAATAAGGGGTTTAGTTTAAGATCCCTTATATTAAGATACAATATTTTTATAGTAGTTGGGGTCCCTCAACATTTTCACAGAGAAATTTCGTCAAATAGAAATCCTAGCTCCTCCCAACCTGTTCTGCTCTCCTATTGCCCTTCCTTCCTTTAGCAGACTGACCCATACCCCTAGCACCAGAAGTATCTTTTGTAAACTCTGCGAACTTGCCCCACAAAGCTTTGTCGTCACACCACACTCCATTAGCCTTTTGTGCTGCCATCTCCGCCGCAACAGAGCAATCATATCTGACAAAACCAAACCTTAACCTTGTTGTTTTCCTAGTCTTATTAGGGATACACACATCTCTGACCACTCTGAACTTCTTAAACAACTCATACAGCCCCTTTGGATTCATTGACAAGGGAATGTTGTCCATAAAAATTGTGTAAAGACCTGGTTTGCCAGGTACAGACCCTTGTTCCCGTCTCCTCCGTCCACACAGCACCGAACGCCATCCCCCCACCTCCCTAGCCGTCAACTTTTAATGAGAGATATTGCATAAATATAATTGTTATACAATTATGGGGCTCATTAACTTGGTGAGTGCTAAGCTCAATTTGAGCAAGAGATCAAAACCATACAGTTAGCATCCCCATTGTTGAAAACTAATAAAAAATAACATAAAATGAAGGGAAACAACACTATAAATTATGTGGTTTTGGCTACACCCTATGTCAAGTAGGGTGCTCATGGATCGGTTTGATACTACATTTAGAATCAATCTAATTATGACCAGTTCCAAGGTTTTGGACTCAGAATCAAACCAATAATGCACTAGAACTAACCCAACCCAATGTTGCTCCGATTGGTTTGGGTTAGAACCAAGATTTCATACTATATTAAAAATAAGGGGTTTAGTTTAAGATCCCTTATATTAAGATACAATATTTTTATAGTAGTTGGGGTCCCTCAACATTTTCACAGAGAAATTTCGTCAAATAGAAATCCTAGCATAGAGAAATTTTGGCATAGAGAAATTTTAGTACAGAAAAATTTTAACACTTCAAAGAGAAATTTCTTTGCGCCGAGTTGAAATTTCTCTAATAATATTATTGAGAGACCTTCACTAATAAGAAAAAAATATATTGGACCTCTCCTACTATCAAAAGTTGAAGAAAGATGTTTCACTAATTTTTTCTAAAAATAACTGAATCAATAAATACTAAATTATTAAAATAAACAAATCTTTAAAATTTAAATATAACATAAATGAAGAGCAAAATATCATTTAATGCAAACCAATACAAATTAAATCTAACTCAAGCTTAAATATTAGCAATACAAATTAAATCCATCAGTACAACCAATACAAATTAAATCAACTACAAAATATAACGCAAGCTTCTAATATTTCATTCGTTCACGTCACCTAATAATTCTTGTATGTAGGATTTATTAGATGCAATCATGTCCATTGTAATAGACCTATTAAGTGAAAACATGTCAATATAAATAAAATTTTAAAATATATATATATAAGTTCGGTTCTCGGGGTGATTCGGTTTTGGCAAGGTTTAAATCAAAAAGCAATCCAATCATATCAGTTTGATGATTTGAAGACCGAGAATCAAACCAATGCACTCGAAAACCAACTCAACCCAAACCCAAAGTGGTCGGTTTGGTTCGATTCTTCAATTTACTGACTAATTTGAATGCCTCTAATATCAACGACATATGATAAATGAACTGCATGGTAAAGAAAAAAAGAAGGGTCTAGATTATTGAGAGAACAGTTGGGTTCAGTGGGCCTATTATGGGGTTGATTTTGGTGCTATGAGATGTTCGCGTTTTAGAATTTATTGAGTAAAATATTTATGTAAAAAATTAAGATGGTAGTTATATGTTTGAATTACATTTGATTTAAAAAAAATAGATAACAAATATAATTTGAGGAATAGCCATCCATTTTGTGTAATACAAATGTGATTCAAATATATAGTTTCTGATATTCGATTATTTTAATTTTTTCATGAATATCCTACCAAAAAAATTCTTAAAAGTGAACAATTTAAATTATCAAATTAACTCCAAAATAGCCTATCAAGTCCAAACTATACTCACAGGTTGAAGAGAATCCAAACCAAAAAAAGTATGCATACATGATGAATGGACTGCATGGTAATGCTCGGTCGAAAAAGGAATGCATGTTCAAAAATCATGACAAATAAATACTAAAGTGGTGGAGGAGATCATGGGATCCATTCACCAACCCCTTCCACAATTATCTACAAATAGAATAAAAATACATACACAAAATTTGGAATTTCGTCTAATTTTTTAAAAGATATTATCAATTAAATTAAAAGATGAATATTCATAATTTCTATATTTTAGATTTGTGATCCATATAATCTTGTAATTTTTTTTGTAATCCTTTTAGATGTGGAATGACTCATTTACCTGCTAGATTGTAGTGTTACATTTGGAAAGTTACATTGAAGTGGTACGTTAGAGAAAAGTACACTAAACTGTTTTTTTGGACTGTTATCTTGGAGTGTTATGTTTTAGTGTTTGAGTGTTCATGTGTTACGTTTGGGAAAGTACACTAAGAAGTTTTTAGTATTGGAGTGTTACGTTGGAGTATTACATTTAGAAAAAGTACACTAAGAAATTTTTTAGTGTTGAAGTGTTGCGTTTAGAAAAAGTATACTAAAGAGTTTTTTTGTGTATTACATCGTACACTAAGGAGTTTTTTAGTATGTTACATCGGGATGTTACGTTAGGAAAAAGGTATACTAAGTAGTTTTTTTTTAGAGTGTTATGTTGAAGTGACGGAAACATGGTCTAAAAATTAAATCAAACTTTCCTAAGATAATGTCCCTCAATGAGGAAGGGTATAAATGTCTATCAAATCATACCAAAATTTAAAATAAGATCTCACGATAAGGTTGTCAAGACAAATAGAACTTATCAATGTATTAGAAAATTCATGGGACTGATTGAAGTAATTGATTCCTATGTGGGACTTTCTGATAATTTTTCCTAAATTAAATTAAGAAAATAAAAAATAAAATAAAATACACTAGAACACAAAATTGATACAATTCATATTACAATTATGAAATTGATGTAAGAAGAAAACTATAAGAACCATAAGTATAATTTAAAGTAAAGTTAGATACCCTAAAATCTTATCCCTAAATTTACCCAAACTGATGTTGTAGGAGGTCTTTTTTTTTGGCTAGCGATGTGGTAGGAGGTTAGCTTTTAATTGATCGATTTCTAAACAAATCAACAAATAACATATAATACTTCATGTCATCGAGGTAAATTTAGAGGGGCAAATTTGATTCAAACATATAGGTGCCGATATCCGATCATCTTATTTTTTATACGAATATTATACTCTGTGAATTCTCAAAAGTGAATTGTTTGGATAATTGAAATGGGACATGTGTTGGCTCAACAATCCATTCTCTCTTGTCGACATGTGAACAAAAAAGAAGCTCAACCCAATTTAGAAATGATGTTTCAAAATATTTTAAGAACGTTTATTCATAAATCTCTTGCCATTTACTTACCATATAATCAAAATGTTTCGAGATGCTATAAGCATTTTCGGCATAATTTACTGTTAACAAATAAATAAAGAATTTTATTGGTTTTTGTTTTTCAGATACAACGGAAAGTAATTTTAGTAGTTCAAAACAGGAAAGTGAGTAATGTAGATATATATATATGTGTCCTTGAATCAAGCCACATAATAATAGTATAAGATTAATGCTATATATACTGATTAGTATATCAATTGATGATGTGACATAATTTAAGATATTTTTAGTATGAATAATGTTTGAGAGCTCGAATTTGGCCCCCCCAATCCCCCTAATCCCCAAAACGACGTCGTTTTGGGGATTAAAGGAAATCAAAAAGTGATCAAAAAGTGATTTCACGGACTGATATAATAATAGGTCCGCTCGAGCGTACAACACTCCGCTCGAGCGTCAGACACAGGTTCACGCTCGAGCGTCCAAATTTCCGCTCGAGCGCCGGATGCACTCTCCCAGAATTTCCTGCAGACGACCAAAATGCTGAGAGAAGGAAATTCATGCTCAAGCGTCCAAACTGCCGCTCGAGCGGAAAGGCAGCAACAAAAGCCCGCTCGAGCGTCAAACCGCCGCTCGAGCGGAGAGACCAAAACCTGGGCAAAAATTTAAAAGCTTTAAAACACCACCAACTAATTCCCAACTTGCCCATCACAACCCAAAACTCTAAAACAAAGAGTAAGGGATAGAAATGAGAATAAGACAACTACGAATCTACGGAACCGAGTCCGGATTACAGTTAAACAACAATTTTAGTATTTGTAATTTGTATAATGAGTGGAGGTCAATAATAAGGTCATAACTAGGGTTGGTACACTAGTTAGTACACTAATTTGTGTATATAACACCACTCATAGAATAATTACTAACAATTATATAAATAATAAAATGGAAACACAATAAAGTGGAAATTATATTGAATAATTTTGTAATAAAAGTTTATAACCGTTGAGATAAAATTTTTGACATTGTATTAATTGCAACAATTAATGTCTTAAAGTAGTTTTCCTTAAAAATATTTCGAAGAGAATAATATTTTCCCATTTTTTATTTGAGTGAAAATTATCTTCGGTACAGCATGGGTTAGACCTGATGTGAATTTTTTTTTATGTACTTTCCATGCTAAACTTTCACAACTCTGATAGAGTTAGGGATTCATTTATATACATTTATACGCTTAATTACAACTCGTTAAGTGGTATAACATTTTTTAGCATTTCTATAATTATCAATCTTACATTGAAAATTTGTGCAAAGAATATACAGAAATTTTCACATGAAGGTAGGATTTACATATGTGAGACTCATGTGGGACAGACACAGGGCGGGCATTGTCACCTCCATTGTAATGCCCCCGATTGAGGTTTGTTTTGATTTGATTTTGATAATCCGAACTGTTCATATTATAGAAATTGTTGAGTATATTATTCGTATAAAAAAATGAGATTAATCGGACTTGCATATCCCTATAATCGGACCATAAGTGCTTTTAAAAAAAATCTCAAAATTATGTTAGTCATTTATTTTTTCTAACATAAATTTAGTGTGCTTTTTTTAAATTTTTTTTTTATGGGTTTTAGATGTCTAATTGCCTTAATTACTTTTTCAAGGATGCTATACTCAATAAACATTTTTTGGATAATTCTTCTTGATAAACCCTATAATATGAACGGTGTGAATTATCAAAATAAATTGACAAAATACGTCCACGAACTCACCACACGATATTGTGCCTATAAAGACAGGTACCTTGCAAAGGTTTCATGTGGGAACCCACCCTCATGTGTGAGCTTTTGTGCATTCTGGGCATAGATCTTGGGTGTAAATAGTATTTCTATTTCATAATTTGTGTGTTCGTAACATTTATATATTCTTAATTAGCATTTTATTATTTTTGTTAATTACCTCAAATGAGTGGCAGTTATACCAACAAATTAATTGGTCATTGCATTAAATCAAATTCATTCCTTTCGTTCCAAAAATGTGAACTTGATTGATATTATGCGTTCACACTGATTAGAAAAACCACCACCCAAATGCATTATAAATAGGGTGTGTTCCTCAACATTGTAGTCCCAAGAAACATATCAAAACCAAGTTTTGTTCTTAAAGCTTTAAAAAGAGAAAAGATATGGTGATGAAGAAGACGATGGGTGGGTCAGTGTTTGCGGTAGAGTGGGTGATGGTAATTTTGGCATTGATTGCAAGCTCTGTGACTGTGAATGCAACAATTACTTGCCCAGATGCGATACTGAAAATACTTCCATGCGAACCATACCTGTTGGGCATCGGCGACATCACTGTGCCATGCTGTCAGGGAGCTCAAAACTTGAACCAGATGGTTAATTCTACAGCAGATCGCCGGGCTGTTTGTGCGTGTTTTAAGCAAGTTGGACCTTCTTTAGGGGTTAACGTTGATAGAGCTAAGAAACTTCCCGATCTTTGCAAAATTGATCTTCGCGGAATAACCATTGACTTTACTATTGATTGCAGCACAATTCCGTACGTAACACATCTTACTCACTCTATGTTGACTATTTGTTTATCTATGTCACTAGACTATCGTGATTTCAACAAATTAATAATGACATCAACAGAGTGGTAGCAGCATCTTACTTTCTGTCTCATATAACCATTTTTTTTTTTTTTTGGGGTCAATTTGAATTTGAATACATTTTCACTTATCAATTAAAACTCTAAAAGGGGACTAATCTTGTGTAGATGTTTGTTCTTCCTCATGAGTTGTGAAAGATGTGTTGAAAGATTACTTTTCGTCCCATACAACCAAATTTATTTTTATTTTTTTGTCAATTTGAATTTGAATACATTTTTTTATGTCACTTGAAACGTTCAATAGCGGTTAATACTGTGTAGATATTCGTTTGTCCTCCTGAGTTGTGAAAGATGTGTAGAAAGATTTACACAATATTAGTCCTTTTCTGCTTTGTTCCTTTTTCTCATATTACTTACTGTGGAAAGATACCTAGATTTTGTCTTATGCTAAAGATTTTTCTTGTTCCTATGCAGAGTTTAATGGATGGGTGAGGAAGGATGCATCTGACAAGGACAAACCTTGGCTAGCAACAACAAAGATAATGCTTAGTTGTTATGTTTTAATTAGTTGTTATGTATATGAATAAATTTGTTATCTTTTCTGAAGATTTCCTTCCCTTCATTTTTCCTTTTTCCTTACCAACATTTGCGCCAAAGAAATTGTGGTACCATTGTATAGAGGAAAAACTTCTCCACAGATTAGTTGATACAACATACCTTTCAATGTCGGATTCGGAAAATTTTGGTTCAGATACATAGTTTCTTGGAATGCTTGCAGTTCGGATACACACTAATTTACCAATAAGATACATATCATTGGACTAAACCTGATTCCGAAGGAAATGTTGTTTAGCTTTAAACTAAAACTGTATTTGTATTTTATTTTTATTTTTTATTTTTTTTTTGTGTGTTTTTTGAAAACTTCTAGTTCAGATACAAGCCAATTTATTACATATCATCAGACCAAACTAGACGAGTTACTAGTGTTTTGAAGGATATATTGTTTTGATTTCAAACCCGTGTTTTTTCTATTTTTCATTTTCATGTTTTTCTTTTTTTAGTGAAAATTTTCATATTTAAATCAATTTAAAAAAAAAATAGGGTACTCGAACCATGGGTCTAATTTCAAAATAGCCCCCAAACTCTATTTTTTTGGGACGAAAAGGACGATAATAATTTGAAAGAGTATATTAATTTTACCCATCTGTCTATTTGTTTACTATCCACTTATCTGTTCATGTCACCTGTCTATTGTCATGTCCTTTATTTGCAAAATCCAAACCCATGAAAAAAGATATGTACACAACCAGAAAGAGGGTACAAAATAATTAAAAGAGGATCTGAACGAGAATGGTATACTCAATAAGTGAGATTGCTATAAAATTAGTATAACCAATACAAATTAAATCAACTACAAAATCTAACGCAAGCTTCTAATACTTCATTCATTCATGTCACCTAATAATTCTTGTATGTGGGATTTATTAGATGCAATCATGTCCATTGTAATTGACCTATTAAGTGAAAAAATGTCAATATAAATAAAATTTTAAAATATATATATAGGTTCGGTTCTAGGGGTGATTCGGTTTAGACAAGGTTTAAATCAATAAGCAATCCAATCATATCAGTATGATGATTTGAAGACTGAGAATCAAACCAATGCACTCGAAAACCAACACAACCCAAACCCAAAGTAGTCGGTTTAGTTCGATTCTTCGATTTACTGACTAATTTGAAGGCCTCTAATATCAACAACATATGATAAATGAACGGCATGGTAAAGAAAAAAAGAAGGGTATAGATTATTGAGAGAACAATTGGGTTCAATGGGCCTATTATGGGGTTGATTTTGGTGCTATGAGACGTTCACATTTTAAAATTTATTGAGTAAAATATTTATGTGAAAAATTAAGATGATAGTTATATATTTGAATCATATTTCACTTAAAAAAATAGATAACAAATATAATTTGATAAATAGCCATTCATTTTGTGTAAAAATTCTTAAAAGTGAATAATTTAGATTATCAAATTAACTCCAAAATAGCCCTATCAAGTCCAAACTGTACTAACAGGTTGAAGAGAATCCAAACCAAAAAAAGAATGCATGTTGAAAAATCATGACAAATAAATACTAAAGCGATGGAGGAGATCATGGAATCCATTCACCAACCACTTCTACAATTATCTACAAATAGAATAAAAATACATACACAAAATGTGGAATTTCGTCTAATTTTTTAATAGATATTATCAATTAAATTAAAAGTTGATTGATTAATAATTTCCATATTTTAGATTTGTGATCCGTATAGTGTTATATATATATATATATTTTGTAATTCATTTAATCCTTTTAGATGTGGAATGATTCATTTGCCCATCAGATTGTAGATGTGGAATGACTCATGTGGAATGACTCATTTAATCCTTTTAGAAAGTTACATTAAAGTGTTACGTTTGGAAAAAATACATTAAGCTGTTTTTTTGAACTGTTATCTTGGAGTGTTGTGTTTTAGTGTTAGAGTGTTCAAGTGTTACGTTTGGAAAAGTACACTAAGGAATTTTTTAGTGTTGGAGTGTTAAATTGCAGTATTATGTTTGAAAAAAGTATACTAAGAAATTTTTTAGTGTTAGAGTGTTACATTGCAGTATTATGTTTGAAAAAAGTATACTAAGAAATTTTTTAGTGTTGAAGTGTTACATTGGAATGATTCATTTGCCCATCAGATTGTAGATGTGGAATGACTCATGTGGAATGACTCATTTAATCCTTTTAGAAAGTTACATTAAAGTGTTACGTTTGGAAAAAGTACATTAAGTTGTTTTTTTGAACTGTTATCTTGGAGTGTTATGTTTTAGTGAGTGTTCAAGCGTTACGTTTGGAAAAATACACTAAGGAATTTTTTAGTGTTGGAGTGTTAAATTGCAGTATTATGTTTGAAAAAAGTATACTAAGAAATTTTTTAATGTTGAAGTGTTACGTTTGGAAAAAATACACAAAAGAGTTTTTGAGTGTAATACGTCGTACACTAAAGAATTTTTTAGTATGTTACATCGGAATGTAACGTTAGGAAAAAAAAAGTATATTAAGTAGGTTTTTTTAGAATGTTACGTTGAAATGACGGAAACGTAATCTAAAAATTGGATCCAACTTTCCTAAAATAACGTCCCCCAATGAGAAAGGGTATAAATATCTATGACATCATACAAAAATTTAAAATAAGATTTCACGATAAGGTTGTCAAAGCAAACAAAACCTATCAATGTATTAAAAAATTCATGGGGCTGATTGGAGTAACTGATTCCTATATGGGACTTTTTGATAATTTTTCCTAAACTAAATTGAGAAAATATAAAAAAAACTAGAACACAAAATTGATACAATTCATATTACTATGATCAAATTGATGCAAGAAGAAAACTATAAGAACTATAAATTTAATTTAGAGTAAAGTTAGATACCCCAAAAATCTAATCCCTAAATTTACCCAAACTGATGTGGTAGGAGGTTTTTTTTTTTTTTTTTGTGTGTGTGTGTGTGTGTAATATAAGTGGTTTAATTAATAAATTGATAGTCGATTTTAAATGGAAAAAATTTTTTAACAGAGCATTCTATGTCAGTGGAATTCTTATATATTTCCAGTTTTTTAACTGCTTATATTATTGGGCACGAGATTTTATTTACTGAATGATTATTTTTTAACAAGAATCGATCATAAGTATTTGCATATGTGGTTGTGACAAATTAATCATAAACATATTATTTGACCCAAAAAAAAAAAACAAAAAGAAAAAAGAAAAAGAAGTGTCCACTAGCTCAGTCGAGATATGTGGTGGGTGCTGTCACCGCACTTGTGCCGTGACACCTCATGGGATTTGTCCCGAACTTGTTTTGATAATCTCAACCGCTTATAATAGGGTTCGTCAAACATCTTATCCATAAAAAAATAAAAAAAATAAAAAAAGAAATAAAAGAGAGATTAATCGAATGTGTAGCCTCATGATCAGACTTTAAATTAATTTTTTTTTTTTGATAAATGAAATTTTATTACCACAACATCAAGAAGATGCCAAAAGAATACAAAACCAAGGCCCGCAAAACGGGAGCCTAACCAACTACATTATCAACAAAATCTAAGAGAGCAAATAAATCTGGATTCGCCTTTCTTGACACCCGGTTGTACAAAACACCCAAAAACCAAGCCTCTAACCGTGCAATGGATTGAGCACTATCCTGAAAAATACGTCGATTTCATAATAATAGAATAATGACTAACAGTTATATAAAAATTAAAATGGAAACACAATAAACTATAAATTATATTGAATGATTTTGTAATAAAAGTTTATAACCGTTGAGATAAAATATTTGATATTGTATTAATTGCAACAATTAATGTCTTAAATTAGTTTTCATTATAAATATTTCGAAGAGAATAATATTTTCCCATTTTTTATTTGAGTGAAAATTATCTTCGGTGCAGCATGGGTTACACCTTATGTGAAATTTTTTTTATGTACTTTCCATGCTAAACTTTCACAACTCTGATAGAGTTAGGGGTTCATTTATATATATTTATACGCTTAATTACAACTCATTAAGTGGTATAACATTTTTTAGCATTTTTGTAATTAGCAATGTTACATTGAAAATTTGTGCATAAAATACACAGAAATTTTCACATGAAGGTAGGATTCACCTATGTGAGGCTCATGTGGGACAGGCACAATGCGGGTATTGTCATAGCACCTCCGTTGTAAAGCCCCTGATTGAGGTTCGTTTCGATTTTATTTTGATGATCCGAACCGTTCATATTATATGATTTGTTGAGTATATTTATTCATATAAAAAATGAGATTAATCGGACATGCATGTCCCTATAATCGGACCATAATTGCTTTTAAAAAAATTATAAAAATTATGTTAATCATTTATTTTTTTTAACACAAATTTAGTGTTTTTTATTTTTTTTTTATTTTTTATTTTTATTTTTATGGGTTTTAGATGTTTAATTGCCTTGATTTTTTTTCAAGGACGCTCAACTCGATAAACTTTTTTTGGGTATTGCTTCCCGATAAACCCTATAATATGAACGGTCAGATTATTAACAGATTGACAAAATACCTCCATGAACTCATAACACGATATTGTGCCTATAAAGATAGGTACCTTACAAAGGTTTCATGTGGGAACCCACTCTCATGTGCAAGCTTTTGTGTATTATATGCATAGATTTTCTGTGTAAATAGTATTTCAATTTTGTAATTTGTGTGTTCCTAACATTTATATATTCTTAATTAGCATTTAATGCTAGCATTTAATTATTTTGGTTAATTAGCTCAAATGATTGGCAGTTATACCAACAAATAAACGGGTCATTGCATTAAATCAAATTCATTACTTTCGTTCCAAAAATGTGAACTTCATTGATATTATGCGTTCACACTGATTAGAAAAACCACCACCCAAATGTA